GTAGTCGTAGTCGTAGTCGCAGTAGTCGTCGTTGCAGCAGTAGCAGCAATAGTAGTACTAGTAGTAGTACTAGTAATGGTAAGAATAGTAGCAGCAGTTGTTGTTTTGTGACCCAATTCCACCGATGAACCTCGCACCCCAAAGCCCGAAACCCATCACCCACCTCAAGATTCCTAGGGTAGGGTCTATGGGTTTCAGGGTTTCGGGTAGCTTGGGGCTTAGATTGAGCAGGGTCCCAGCTAAAAACTACCTGCAAGCCTTCCTGCCCTATCAAACACTATAACACCTCTGGAACACCACAAACATCCTACAAAAACAGTTCCTCAATCCAACAAGACACTGTCAATATTCAAGTAAGCTGAAACCCTCGAACCCTGGACCCGTCAACCTCAACGCTGAACCCTGAAACCCTTACACCCTCTCAGCAAAGAGCAGCTCCCCTGCCTTAGTAGCAACGGCTCATCTACCGACCTTGGTACGGAGGTGATGCGTTCTCTGTATTCTATCGCGTTTGATTCATGGTTTCGAAGGCTGGCAGGGTTCTGCAGGGTTTTCTGGACTATCTTAAGTTGAAGGACTCGCTAAGTGATGCAGATTGGCGAATTAGAGTGTGGGGTTTAGGGTGTTGGGTTGCAAGATGTTACAAGTACCCTGACTGTGGCTGTTCTGATAATGGCTCCGGAATCTTCCTGGAACCATACATAGCAACTAAGTAGATTTGCTTGAAGTCTTCAACTAAGGAAGTCTGGCGCCTCTGGCTGCTTTGAGCAGGTGATACATAGGCGCGTAAGTAGGATATCACCAGTTGTGAAATATTGACAACCGCCCGTACCACCTACTGTCTAAGCCGCATGAAACTCTAACCAAGCAAGAGGCGCCTGTTTTTGCTCACCAAATTCTGAAGGCCCTGAACCTTGAGACCTAAATGGGGAGTTCCGAAAATAGGTGACCCTAATATAGTACCCTAAATACTAGGATCCCTATTATAAGGACCCCCAAATAAGGTACACTAATTTTCTGAAACTCCCA